TAAATAAATATATAAAAATGTAACTAAAAATTGATAAATAAATGAACATAAATAAACGATGACAATTTTTTTTCTTAATTTTAATAAAAAAATTTATATTCCAATTGATAAGATATAATATATAATTGAAGACCATATTTGGTAAAAAAAAAAAAAAAAACAAAAATGGAATAAAATAATTTTGATTCTATATGAACAAGTTTAGGCTCGACCTTGGCCGCTAGAGCTGTATGATTTGTCTGTATATTATCGGTTTCTGTCTCATATGCATTTTTACCCATACAAATCTTAGCAAATAGCTATTCAAAAGAGAAACTTTATAACAGTCTCTACTACGTGGAACTCAGTTTTATTTGCGAAAATCAGTAAATCACATTCGTTAGGCAAATTTATTGCCAAAATCGAAACGGAATCCACAAAAATATATTTCAAATAATTTGCAAATCGATTTGCAGCCCTGAAGCATGAATTGCCATGCCATGGCAGAGCCAAGGCAAGTCTGCATAAATTATTGCCAATGCCGAGTGGAAGTTAATAGACTTTTCGCTTTTGCTAATGCAAACAGCAAGACAGTGAGTGCTTCAGCGGATGGCTGCTAAAATCAAAGAAGGAAATGCAAAGAATTTCGTGCAAAATTTAATTACTCAGAGAGCTGAAAGAACTGAAAGGACTTAGAGCTATGAACCGAGAACTGCGTCAAAAAGATACGCACAACAGTCGCTGCTATCCAAGAGTTCAGCTTCGTTTGTTTATGCATATTTTAGTCAAGGCTGCACATTAACTGCAGCAGCAGGAGCAGCAGGAGTCGCAGCAGCGGCACTTGATATTGTTGTTGTTATTGCTGCAACAGTTGCGCAAACATTGCGCCCAATGCCTTAATGACCCGCCGCCCTTTGACCTTTTGCCGCGCGAGGGCAAGTCGTTTGCATATTCATTGGTCACTCCCATTGCCCATCCGCCCGAGAACCACGCTGAGTCGCTGCTTTGAGCGTAAATATTCCGAGCACTTTAAACAATTCATTCATTTACATTTACAAGAGTTCTACCATTCCGCAATGGATAACAAACTACAAAACAAAAGTTACTCTACTTTTTGGTATATACCAAAACTGAATATAAATATTGGAATAAAAGAAATGCTCATAGTTAGTTATATTAAGAGTAATTAACCAAGAACTGGCTGGCTTCACTTTCTTAGCAACAGTCAGTAGAATGAACGTCCCAGCGATATCAGCTTATCATAAAGGTTCTTGAAATAGCTAGACAATTTGATGATATTTTGTGTTAGGCCTTGTTAATTTATTAACTAATAATAATCAACAAATTATCTGAAGTGCTTAAAGATTGCAGAGGTCATATATAAAATATTTATATTAAGCAACAAAATGTTTCGCGGAATAAACTAAAAACAAATATAGATTTGATAAAATGAAGCGAATTGATAAGTATATATAAGTATAAGTATTAATTTAATATGTAGATGTCAGATATTTATTTGATTCAAGTGCTGTGAAGTGCATAAGCTATATATAAAATATTTTTTTAAATAAATCACCACAAATATATACTAAAAGGTAACAGAAAAAGTAACAAGTAATA